GCCATGCGTGCAGTTAGCGGTTCGGATGATTTCTCCCTCATCGTGTGGGACTTGGCTTCAGGTGATGCTGTGGTGCGTCTGAGGGGTCACGAGGGCATCGCTTGCATTGCCCTGGCCGATTTTACATCATCACGCGCGGTCAGCGGTTCGCGCGACGGCTCGTTGAGGCTTTGGGATTTGGTGACTGGCACATGTCTCAACACTGTTCAGGCGGAGTGCACTGTCTCATGTCTCGTTGCACAGCTCTAGCTGGTGTGCTGCGTCCCACACCCTGCACGCCGCTCTCCGCCTCTTCGCCTCTGCGTCTCGTGGGACGGCACCGCCTTCCCGTGGCCGCGCGAGTTGGCCGAGTTGGGCTTGGACGTCGCATACCTTCCCTGGGTGGTGCGGCCCGGAAGGCATTCGCTCATCCGCCGCCGCCTTGTCTCCCCCGTCTCCCCAGGCCCAGACCCTGCGGCGCCGCGGGGAGGGTGTGGAGGAGGAGGAGGAGGAGGAGGAGGGCGAGGAGGAGGAGGAGGAGGAGGAGGAGGAGGGCGAGGAGAAAGAGGAGGAGGAGGAGGAGGGGGCGGGGGAGGAGGAGGAGGAGGAGCTCTCCTCGAGCGCGAGGGGCGAGCGAGCGCTGGGGGCTAGCGAGCGATGCCGAGCGAAGGGCTGCGGGGCGAGCGAGCGAGGGGGGAGAGCGAGCCAGCGACGAGCGAGGGGCTTCCTCGCAGGCCTAGAGGTTGACAGCAACACCAATATTGGCGGCGTGCCTCCACCGAGGGAAGAAGATCCCGATCTCGGTCATTGGTGGTAATACTCTGGCTTCCAAGGTGACCGAAACATTACCACCAACACTGAAATCTAAGATCACCTTCCCCCTATGGAGGCACCCCCTGTGTTGGTGTTGGTGCCCATTTCCAGGCCTCCAACTTCCGAGCGAGGAGGGCAAGCGAGTGAGCGAGCGCGAGAGGCAAGCGAGCGAGGGCGAGCGAGGGCGAGCGAGCGGTACGACCACGTGTTGAGGCTGCATCTCGGTCTCCAGGGTGTCCGAAACATTTGCTGTTGCGCCTTCGGTGCGGAGTTTGGACCGGAATACGAGGGAACACCCCCAAGGCCTGTAGACCCCCTTAACAGACAAAACCGGCATTACCACACAGACAAACAATTATTGACGCTTCGCGTATCCCCACCAGCCCATTACTCTCGCCATACTGGCTCTTCGGAGCAGGACGCTCTCGACATGCTGTCCTGCCCTGATGGAGGCGGCCCAATGTACAAAGTCAGTCTGGGCACCGTCGAACTCGAGCGTCCCGACGAGACACCAGCCAGTTGCATATCCAGGCTTCAGTCGCAGCTGGGAGCAGTCTTTTGCGCACTGTGGACAGCGAACACGCAGCGTACCCTGCTCCCTGGATGGAGGGCGCCCAAGTCCGACCCGAAACTACACATGCCCGCGGATATCATCAACTTCTCAGAGGCCTGGGAGGACTGCGGGTACGACGCCTACGAGATGGACAGGAGACTGGGCTACGGTATCGACTGGAACAAGATACGAGCCAACTACCTGCGTCACTCCCAGACAGACGACTGGAGCAAAGGCGGCTATCGCCACACGGGCTGGCGCGACCGTGCGACAAGTTCCTGGGACACCTGGAGCAGTTGGCAGGGCGAGTGGCGCGACGGATGGCGTGAGGATCACTGGCAGGCGGGTGGCAAGCGCGGCGGAGGTTACCCTGATGATCGGGATGATCGAGATGAAAAGAGACTCCGCTGGAAAGACTGAACTCCCTCTCTGCCCTCACCGCCCCAGTGCCCGCCCCACCGCCTGCGCTGCACAACACACCACCGCGGCCCTCTGCCGCCCTTTCCCTCAACCTGGGGCGGCCCTGCCCCCCCTCCCCTGAGCGGCACCCTCTCTCACCCGTGGCCTTGGGGTGCCGTTCGGTAATACCGTCTGCTCCGTGCGTGACACCACGCATCCTGCAAACCAGTCGCCGCTGGCATCACTGCCTTTCTCCACCGGTGGCCGACGCCCTCTTGTCACTCGGCTCCTCTCTCCCCGCCATGTTTCACTCTGAATCCCAGCGGACGCTGCCCAGGCCGCGCCGCTGGCCCCTGATCGCGGCGCTCTGCCGCCCTCCGCCCGATGCGCGCACCTCCTGCCTTTGGATCCAGGTGCGCGCTTCGGCAATACCGTCCACCGCCTCTCCGCAGTGGACTCGCGGCCTCAGGCCCTACTGTAGCTGTCTCACCGCCAGGCCTTCCTGGCCTGTCAGTGGGCCACTGCCGCCTGACCACTGGCTTCTCCCTGGACTTTCTAACCGAACGATCGGCCTTCCGCCGTCACCTTGGACCTTTCAAACAAGAAGGACGGCCTTCCGCCGTCACCCTGGATCCGTTGGCTCTGTGGGACACGTCTCGGGTACAAGACGTCCTCGTCCCTCTGTGCTAGACGACTCGATTGGGTATCGCTGGGCCACCTTTGATGTGCACACTCCTAGGGGTCTGCCGTGTGTCGTGCCCTTCCATACCTTCCACTCGTCGGATCTGGGCTGTCGCATCTCAGGTGTGGATGTTCTGTCTTGTCATCATTCTCCACGCCCTGGATGCGCTTCTTGCGTTGCGACTGGCTCGCCGTCCGCTTCTCAGTTGGTCCTTGTCCCCAGTCAGCCTGTGGTACCCTTCAGGCTCCATGGATCGGTGCCTTCTGGACTCCCATTGCTGGACGGCTTCCTACCGCGACCTTGGATCAGTGGCTTTGTGGGACTTGCCTGGGTATACACGGTCTCGTTCCGCCTGTGCTCTCCGTCTCATTGGACTGCACTGTGACACTGTGTTGTGCGCACGCCGCGTTTCGACGGGAGCGTGCATCAGGTGCCCTTCCACCCGTTGGGTCTGGGCCGATACGTCTTGGTGTGGTTGTCTTTCGTTGGACCTACCACCCCGACCTCTGTGCTACCCGACAGGCTGGGGCTGGCGTCCTCGGTCGTTCCCTTGTCCGCTCTTGGACGTTGGAACATTTTCGCGCCATTTTGGCTGCGCTTGGTGGTCTCTGTGCCTACCCCAGGCCTGTTGGACGCACCTGCATGCCCGTGCAGGGGCCGCCATGGCACCTGGATTGCATCATCTTCGCTTCCCTGGACACTGTCGTGAGCCGCCTGATCCGCGGCCCTGTGCGCGTTAGGTAATTTAGTCGCGTCCGCGGCCCGTTCGCGACCTTCCGCCGCTGGCGCTTCCGCCTGCGGCTGCAAAAAAATATCCCCACCAGCCCATCCAGAAACGATGCCCAGGGGAGTTGAGGTGATCAGGGCAACGGGGGAGCATGCAGAAGAACATAGAGTGGGGACAGCCGTCCGATACCCCAAGAGGGGGAGGATGTTGGAGGAGAAGAGAGAGGAGGAGGAACACGAGACGGAGGAGGAGGGCGATGAGGAGGAAGGAGGAAGAAACAGTGGACAAGGAGGAGGAGGAGGAGGAGGAGGAGGAGGAGGAGCATCGTGGCGAGCTCAGGGGCTTCTTTGAGCGTCTTGGGTGCCTCGGAGATTCTCTTCAGGCATCTTGGGGGCCTTTTGGGAGCCTCTCGGAGGCCTCTTGGGCGCCTCTTGGGGCCGCCTGGGCGCCTCTTGGAGCCCCCTTGGGGCGTTCTTGGGAGCACTAGGGGCACTCTTGGGGCCATCTTGGAGGACATCGATCAAGAAATAAGGGTTCCTCAATTCCCCCCTTGGGAACCCCCAAAGTCGCATCTATGGGCGCTCTTGGAGCGCTCTTGGAGCGCTCCTGGGCGCTCTTGTGCCGTCTTGGGGCTCTCTCGGGCCTTTCCTGGGGCCCTCTTGGGCCATTTCGGAGCCATGTTGGGGCCCCAGATGGCCATCGGAAGCGAAAAGGCGACAAAGCAGAAACACTGATGTTCCTTAGGTTCTGGAAGGACGTTGGCCTCGTCGGGGCCTCCTTGGGGAGCTCTTTGGCTACTTGGAGCCGTCTTGGAGCGGTCCTTGGGCCTCTTGGAGCATCTTGGGAGCCATCTTGATGCATCTTGGGATGTCTTGGGCCATCTTGGAGCTCATCTTGGGCTCTCCGAGGCGCTCTTGGAGCCATCTTGGACGCTCCAAACCCTCGCGGAACCCCCCGTCCAAGTCCAGGGGAGGGGGTAGGGGGAAGGGTAAACTCCTCCCCGAAGGGGAAGATGGGCAGATCAAAGACAAAACAGCCTAGACCACCTACGCCCTAAAAGGGCTGGTGGGATTCATACGAAGCGCATTGGTTAGATGAACGCGTGCGCGCCCCACCCACATTGCATCACATCTATGGCACCACGTTGATGGCACCAAATAGCTTGCACCACATAGCTTGCACCACGCAGATGGCACCACACAGCTGGCACCACATAGCTTGCACCACACGTATGGCATCACGTTGATGGGACTTCATAGCTAGCATCACATAGCTTGAACCACATAGTTTGCACCACATAGCTTGCACCGTATGGTTGCGCCTCATAGCTCACACATCTGCTGTGCAAGAGCTAACTGTTCGGGGTCCACGCAGACTAATATTGCTTTGTGCTGAATCCCGTCAGCCCTTTAGGGCGTAGGCGGTCTAGGGTGTCTTGTCTTTGATCTGCCCCTCTTCCCCTTCGGGAAGATCATTGTTCCTTATTGGTAAACACCCCCCCCCACCCAGGCCACCGGCGTCCAACTAGGAACCATGAGGACACCACACGTCCCGCCCCCCATCATCACTGCCCAATAGAAATCGCACTCTGCTTCCACATTTGGAGCATGCGCGGCTGTTCCGATGCGGCCCCCCACTATCCCTGGCCATAGAACACTGCAAACTACACTTTAGGGCAAAGTCTTGAGTCATATTCGTGAGGCCCGCGAACACTTTGTATTGTTTTTGACAGGGACGGCGGGGGTGCCAGCATATTCCCTGCGGTGCGCGGGGCTACCATCCCTGACAAAAGATACAACATGCACCCCGCGGCTAAATTTTGATCATGCGCGGCCATCCCTCGATCACTGTCAAATAGTTTTGGACGGGGGCGGCGGGGGTGGTGGCGCGTGGACGGCTGTGCGCAGGCCCACCAGACACAATGATGAGCATTGGTTTTCGACAAGGATGGCGGGGGCCGACATGTTTCCCGATATGTGCTGTCACGTGCGCAGGCGCACCTGACGCACTCTGCACGTGTCCCGAACATGGCGCACTTGGCGCGGCTGGAGTGTGCGGCACACCTGGCGCACTCAGAGCACGTGGCGCATTTGGCGCACCGGGCGTGCCTGGCACGCTCGGGCCCCGGGGTTGCCTGGCACGCGTGTCGCCCCTGGCACGCGTGGCGCACCTCGCCCAAGCGTCGCGCACCTGGGGTCGGCTTTGGTTCCCAGTGCATCCAAAGACGACCGCTGAACATGCTCAGGCTCAGGTGTTACTTATGTGTTGGGAGCGCGGGTGGGAGTCAGCTAGACGGCTTGCGGGCGGGTGGGTAGCTTGACCCTTTTCCCTACCCCCTTCCCCTGGACCTGGACGGGGGGTTCCGCGAGGGTTGGAGCGTCCAAGATGGCCCAACGTGGCTCCAAAAGCGCCTCGGAGAGCCCAAGATGAGCTCCAAGATGGTTCAAGATACCCCAAGATGGCTCAAGATGGCTCCCAATATGCTCCAAGAGGCCCCAAGACCGCTCCAAGACGGCTCCGAGTGGCCAAAGAGCTCCCCAAGGAGGTCCCGAAGAGGTCAACGTCCTTCCAGATCCTATTGAGCATCAGTGTTTCTGCTTTGTCGCCTTTTCGCTGCGATGGCCATCTGGGGCCTCAAGATGGCTCCAAAATAGCCCAAGAGGGTCCCAGGAGAGGCCCAAGAGAGCCCCAAGACGGCCCACGAGCGAGTCCGTAACCATTTCTGCTCAAGCGCTTTGGGTTTAAAAGTTCCCAGCTAGCAAGCACGTTCAACTTTGACCATCAACCGCGCAGATCAATATCAAGGGGGCGTTGATCACCCAATTTGATCACCCAATGCGGTGTACGTTGAGGGCTCTCGTTTGTGTGCCAGGTGTTGACATCAAAACTGTTGCTTATTTCGTGAAGCTTCAGCTTTTGTATTTAATGACGGTGTTGCTGGTCCTCGGTTGTGTGAGTGTGATCGGGAAGATGTGCCAAACATATTTCTTTTGCCTCTCTTTTGAAGGAGACTTTTTACCGAGGCGAGCGGCTGTATCGCTGTTGCTGGTTCCATTACTGTGCTGGCTGACGCTGATGTTCTTAGCCAGCTTGACAATGTTATACGAAGATGTTCTTCGCAAACATGTACTCGAGCGGACACGCAAAATCACCGTTTTGATTTGCATGTTTGTTTGGAGGCGTTGGAAGCCATCAGCGCGAATGAAGAATGTAGTGGACATGTTTGTCATTGTGTCCTCAGTCGCAGCACCACTACTCTCGGCAGTCATCCATGTCGCAGTCACCCACTCTACCATGCACAGCGCTATGTTGACCACATTTGTGGTCGGTTACGTCAGAGGCGGGTTCATCTTGGCAGCGTTTCTTGTGTTCCTCAACTTCCTCTGCGAGCTTCTCGTCGCAAGTAACGCTACAGTGGGAACGGCGTTGACTATGCTTGACGCCGTTCCATCGGATTGGAGCCTTGGTTCCTCATTCTGGGATGCGGGACAAGAAGATTGGAGCAGCATCTTTGCCAGCCAGGACTGCTGTAGTTCGCCAAACTTGTTTCGGGCTCTCTTCACAGCGAAACGCTCGAGGAATCAGGTGCTCTTGGTTGTGCTGATGGTCCTTGTGCTTACGTTGAATGTGGCATTGACGAGCATTCATAAAAACAGCACCATTGGGCTGATTTGCTTCTTGGTCATAGCTGTGGCTCTGCTGCAGCTTGAACAGCTTGTCGTGGGTCGCGTAGTAACTGGGATCTTCAAGCTAGTTGGGTACAGCAGTCTTTCCCTGTCAGCCATTTTCTTTTTTGTGGCTTTGCAAACTCCAATTGCACCGGAGGGCGAGGGCACGCGGCTCACTGGGGGTATGAATTACACACCTGTGCAGAAACCGTCAGTATATCCAATTTGCGTGGGACAATGGGGTCATCATTCGTTCCCAGAAGAACAGCGGCTTACAGTACTAGATTTGAGCATTCTGGCGAGTGCAATGTATCACAAGAGCAACGATTCAATCGCGTCTATTGTACAACAAGGCTTCGGAGACACCGGCCTTGCCGATGCTCAGCTGGTAGACCTCGACGACTATGATAAGGTCGGGCGCATGGGAGTCTTCAGGTTCCCATCCATCAAAGTGCAGGTTCTCTCTGTGAGAGGCACGCTTACGGAGCGCGACATATTGAAAGACCTCGACCTGTACACGATGAGCTTTCTTTTAGAGCTTGTGGACACCATCATTCCCATCATTTTTTTCTTGAGTACCGAACAAATTCAACATGTGTTCTATCTCTTGTCCGTGTACCATTTTCTGGAGGATCCCGTTTTGCAGAGAGTTTTCGATACACTACGCAGAATCAAGGAGGAAGGCGACTCGCTGGGGTACGTGACTGTAGGGACAGGGCATTCGCTCGGCGGGGCCTTCGCTGTACTCGGGGCCGCTCGGCTGAACATTCCCGCGGTTGTGTTCAGTTCCCCTGGCTATGTCTACATTGCAAAGGCCTTCGGTATCGACCTCACGGTTGCGAAGACGAATGTTGTCAATGTTCAGCCGGAAGGGGACGTCGTAGTAAAGATCGATTCGCATGTGGGCGCAGTGCAGGAGATCGTGTGCACAGAATCCTCTCGTAGATGCCATGCTCTCATTGTATCCATGTGTGAACTCTTACGGAATTGCGGCGATCCCCGTGGCCGTGTAGTTGCTAAAGTGGACGGTCCCGGTGCACTGAAAGATTGGACGTGTAAAGTTGATTGACTGATCCTGGGAACGTCAATATTGATTCATCCATCCAGCTGACTAACTCGTCGTAGTCTTGAGTCTCCAGGTTGCCTTCCCCGTGTGTGTGTGTGCCGTTCGCGAGCCGTCGGGCTTGATTTTTCCTGCCTCCTGGCAGGCCGCTGGTGCGGCTCTCCCCGTGCCAGCTACCTCTCATCCCTACCCCCCCCCCCTAACTCCCTGGCTCCGAGAAGCCCTGGCTTGAGGTGACCAGCGTTTTGTCGATGCACGGTCGCTTCGGCCGTCGCCGCGATCTCGAGCCGGCAGAGGCCGTCGAGATGTAGATGTTTGGTTTTTGCTCTCGCGCTGCCCTGGGGCCTCGGGCCTGCCAGGCGGTCAGACGCCGGTGAGTGAGTTTTTGTTGCTCGTCTCCATCCGCTGTGCCCTTGCCCAGCGCCCAGGTCTTGCCGGGCAGCCGTGCGCCTTTTTCCACCGGGTCACCTGGAAGAGATGTGAGGTGAGACCAAAACAACGCATTCGCATTTTACAGTGTACACGGTGTCCTAAAGCTAGTCATTCTGTTCTAAGATATCGTCAATCGTTTGGCTCGAGCTGCTTCAGTTGGCTCGCCGCCACCACGCGGCACGGCCGTGTGGGCATCCCGCAGTTGTTGGGCTGGCTCGTGCCTGTCTTACGACAGCTCTCGGATATCTTCATCCGCGTTCTTCTAGTTGCCGACGGGATGCAACTCTTTGCCTTGCCAGTTCCATTCTGTTAGGATGGTCCTGTAGTTGAATGGCTGGGGAGCTTAATAATTTGTCCTCTGCCCTGAGAGGAACCTGAGTCTCCCGCACTGCCGCTATCCACCAACAGCCGGTAACATCCGCCGCTCTGCGGTTGATCGGGAGTTTCTGTATATATAGAAGAAGGGGCGCGCGCTTCTGGGCGAGAGGGAAACGACCGAGAGAAGAAGGGGCGGCCGCCCCACAGGACCTCTCCATGGTGCCGGAAGCCCATCAGGGCTCCCTCAGGGCCCCTCCCCCAGGGCCGGGGCTCCCTCGCCTGCCCCCTCCCCCTCCTCCTCCTCCTCCTCCTCCTCCTCCTCCTCCTCCTCCTCCTCCTCCTCCTCCTCCTCCTCCTCCGCCCCCGTCGGCATATCCAGGCGTGTTATGCCGTCAGGTCGTCCGTCCGGAAACGGTGCCGGAGGCCGCTCTGGGCTCCTCTGGGCATCCCCCCCGGGGCCCGTTTTGTGAGGATGTCTCAGGCGAGGGCGCCGGTTTGGGATTCGTCACGGATCCAGCGGATCCAGCCGGAAACGGTGCCGGAGGCCGCTCTGGGCTCCTCTGGGCATCCCCCCCGGGGCCCGTTTGTGTGAATCTCCGTCAGGAGGGCGCCGGTTTGGGATTTTTGTGAGGATGTCTCAGGCGAGGGCGCCGGTTTGGGATTCGTCACCGGATCCAGCGGATCCAGCGGATCCGTCCGGAAACGGTGCCGGAGGCCGCTCTGGGCTCCTCTGGGCATCCCCCCCGGGGCCCGTTTTGTGAGGATGTCTCAGGCGAGGGCGCCGGTTTGGGATTCGTCACCGGATCCAGCGGATCCAGCGGATCCGTCCGGAAACGGTGCCGGAGGCCGCTCTGGGCTCCTCTGGGCATCCCCCCCGGGGCCCGTTTTGTGAGGATGTCTCAGGCGAGGGCGCCGGTTTGGGATTCGTCACCGGATCCAGCGGATCCGTCCGGAAACGGTGCCGGAGGCCGCTTGGGCTCCTCACCCCCCCCGGGGCCCGTTTTGTGAGGATGTCTCAGGCGAGGGCGCCGGTTTGGGATTCGTCACCGGATCCAGCGGATCCAGCGGATCCGGAAAACGGTGCCGGAGGCCGCTCTGGGCTCCTCTGGGCATCCCCCCCGGGGCCCGTTTTGTGAGGATGTCTCAGGCGAGGGCGCCGGTTTGGGATTCGTCACCGGATCCAGCGGATCCGCGGAAAACGGTGCCTCCGCTCTCTGGGCTCCCCCCCCCCCCGGGCATCCCCCCCGGGCCCGTTTTGTGAGGATGTCTCAGGCGAGGGCGCCGGTTTGGGATTCGTCGCCGGATCCAGCGGATCCGTCCGGAAACGGTGCCGGAGGCCGCTCTGGGCTCGTGCTCTTCGCGCCGGGGGTGAGGATGACGTGAGTTCCACAGAAACTCCCTCAAATTATGTCTGCCCCTTTCCCTCTGGGGTTATGTGTTCGCTTCTGCCAGTGGTCTCAGACAGTGTCCATTGCGACTTGTAGTGCTGCATTTTGTGATCTGCTGGCCCACTGTGGTCTGGCTGGACTAGATTTTGTGACCTCTGCTAGTGAGTTTAACTTGCCTTCTAGACCAAACGTGCGTTCGCGGTTCACTGCACTCGCTCACGTTCCGCTAGTCTGTCCGCATTTTCCCCGCGCGGAAAAAAATAGACGGCCCACGAGCGAGCGCTCAAGAGCACCCCAATACGGTCCCAAGAACCCCCCAGGAGGAGACTTGTGAGGCTCGCAAGGGAGGGGGGGGGGGGCGGGAATTGAAGACTCTCTTTTTTTTGACCGATGTCCTCCAATCTGGCCCAATAGTGCCCATAAAGGTCCCAAGAGCACCCCAAAAGGGCCCCACGAGGCCCCGAGACGGCCCCACGAGATGCCCAAGCGGCCTCCACGAGGGTCCCTGGAGGCCGTCAAGATGCCTGAAGAGGATCTCCGAGGCACCCAAGACGCTCAAAGAAACCCATATGCTCGCTAAATTGATTCTTCTCCTCTTCCTCCTCTTCCTCCTCCTTGTCCACTGTCTCTTCCTCCTTCCTCGTCATCGCCCTCCTCCTCCTCCTCCTCATCTTCCTCCTCCTCCTTCTCCTCCACTGTCTTCCCCCTTGTGGAGTATCGGGCGGCTTTCCCCGCCCTTTGTTCTTCTGCTTGCTCCCCCGCTTCCCTGGTCACGTCAACTCTCCTGGGTATCGTGCCTGGATTGGCTGGTGGGCATCCTTTTTGATCGCGAGCGAAGCGGAAGTGCCGCACGCCGTCCAAAAGTCGTAACGCAATAGCTGCGGCCTAAACTGCGCAAGAGGGAGAGGGACAGAGAGAGAGACAACGAGAGAACAGCGGGGAGGAGGCAACAGGAGGGGGGCTTTGCTGCCGCTCAGAAGTGCGCCTTCGACTGGGGGGTTGAACCGCCAGCCGCTTGCAACACTGGAATGGCGGGGGGGAAATGCAGGTTGAACGATTCCGCGAGCATGCCAGTGAGTAGGTGCACAACGAAGAGTAGGCGCCAGGGACTAACGGGCACACCGTCACGTGGGTAGCGGGCGCACTCCACGAAAGCCCAGCCGTCAACCAGCTCACATGCAGGCGCTCGACGGATCAGAGTCCAGATCGCCAGACACCGCCAAAGGCTGATGTCGAGGTTCCCGCTGGGGGGCATACTTTTTTGTTCCCGTCGCGGCCGCAAGCGGAGTAATCTGGCGGGCACACTTTTAGGTCAACAGGCTCGCGAGGCGGGTCGAAAGCCGTCCGAACACTAGTCGGGCCGCGATTAGGCAGCAGGAAAAGAAAGGCAAGCGAAGCGAGCGAGCGGGCAGCCACTCAGAAGGTGAGCCAGAACCGATACTCCCAAGCCCGGTGGCGTTGGAGATCCCGGTGGCGACCAGCAAGTAAGCGCAGCCAAAATGACTGGTGGGCACTTTTTTGGCCGGCGGCCGCGCGACGACGGTCTGGCGGCGAGAGGCAATGTCCGGGGCGGGCGGCACAAAGCTAATTGCACACAGATCGTGCAGTTGCACATGCACTGAACAAAATGCTCAGCATTCACCAGCAGACGCACCCAGGCGCCGCCCAGTAAACCAAAGTGTACAAGCGGCCACGGGTGCGAGTGCAACGGAGTGAGTCGCCCTTGCGGCGCCAAGCTCCGAGCAGCCGACCGGCTAGCAACGATGCACGAGCCCGGGTAACAGGCTGCTGGCGGTGGAAAACAAGGGGCCGAAGGCGCGGAAGGCTGAACCACTCAGCGCGCAGCCCTCGAACTCCACCGCAGAGTTGGGGGGCTGGCGGCACCCATCGCATCGAGTCAGGCGCGGGGAAGGCCCGGGAATGGTGCGACGATGCGTAAAACGCGAGCTGTACCAGGCTGCAACACTCAAGGCGAGGCATTCAGGCACACAACCCTCAATGTCGGTGGACACCAGCGACTGCCCGAGCACCACAGTGTCGTCCACTGGTGGGCATTTTTTTTGTTTTTATTAAACAGCCGCAGGCGGAATCGCCAGCGGCGGAAGGTCGCGAACGGGCCGCGGACGCGACTAAATTACCTAACGCGCGCGGGGCCGCGGGTCAGGCGGCTCACGACAGCGTCCAGGGAAGACGATGCAGTCCAGGTGCCATGACAGCCCCTGAACGGGCATGCAGGTGCGTCCAGCAGGCCTGAGGTAGGCACCGAGACCACCAAGCGCAGCCAAAATGGCGCGAAAACGTTCCAACGTCCAAGAAGGGACAAGGGAACGGCCGAGGACGCCAGCCCCAGCCTGTCGGGTAACACAGAGGTCCGGGTGGTAAGTCCAACGAGGATCCCGACGGCGGCAGCGAGCCGCGGCGTCAGCGACGTCAAGGTGTATCCATGTTCCGAAAAGACAACCACACCAAGACGTGTCGGCCCAGACCCAACGGGTGGAAGGGCACCGAATGCACGCTCCCGTCGAATCGCGGCGTGTGCACAGCACAGTGTCACAGTGCAGTCCGATGAGGCGGAGAGCACAGGCGGAACGAGACTGTGTATACCCAGGCAAGTCCCACAAAGCCACTGATCCAAGGTCGCGGTAGGAAGCCGTCCAGCAATGACGTCCAGAGAGCACCAATCCATGGAGCCTGCAGGGTACCACAGGCCGATTGGGGACAAGTACCAACTGAAGAGCAGGCGGTGAGCCAGTCGCAACGTAAGAAGCGCATCCAGGGTGTGGAGAGTGATGACAAGACAGAACATCCACACCTGAATGCGACAGCCCAGATCCGACGAGTGGAAGGTAAGGAAGGGCACGATGCACGGCATACCCCTAGGAGTGTGCACATCAAAGGTGGCCCAGCGATACCCATCCGAGTCGTCTAGCGCAGAGGGACGAGGACGTCTTGTACCCGAGACGTGTCCCACAGAGCCAACGGATCCAGGGTGACGGCGGAAGGCCGTCCTTCTTGTTTGAAAGGTCCAGGGTGACGGCGGAAGGCCGATCGTTCGGTTAGAAATGCCAGGGGGAAGCCAGTGGTCAAGCGACAATGGCCCACTGACAGGCCAGGAAGGCCTGGCGGTGAGACAGCTACAGTAGGGCCTGGGGCCGCGAGTCCACTGCGGAGAAGCGGTGGACGGTATTGCCGAAGCACACACCTGGATCCAAAGGCAGGAGGTGCGCGCATCGGGCCGAGGGCGGCAGAGCGCCGCGATTAGGGGCCAGCGGCGCGGCCTGGGCAGCGTCCGCTGGGATTCAGGAAGTGAATCATGGCGGGAAGAGAGGGGCCGAGTGACAAGAGGGCGTCGGCCACCGGTGGAGAAGGCAGTGATGCCAGTGGCAAGTGGTTTGCAGGATGCGTGGCGTCACGCACGGAGCAGACGGCATTACCGAGCGGCACCCCGAGGCCACGGGTGAGAGAGGGTGCCGCTCAGGGGAGGGGGGGCAGGGCCGCCCCAGGTTGAGGGAAAGGGCGGTGAGGGCAGAGAGGTAGTTCAGTCTTTCCAGCGGAGTCTCTTTTCATCTCGATCATCCCGATCATCAGGGTAACCTCCGCCGCGCTAGCCACCCGCCTGCCAGTGATCCTGGCGCCATCCGTCGCGCCACTCGCCCTGCCAACTGCTTCAGGTGCCCCGGGAACTTGTCGCACGGTCGCGCCAGCCCGTGTGGCGATAGCCGCCTTTGCTCCAGTCGTCTGTCTGGGAGTGCCTCAGGTAGTTGGCTCGTATCTAGTTCCAGTCGATACCATAGCCCAGTCTCCTGTCCATCTCGTAGGCGTCGTACCCGCAGTCCTTCCAGGCCTCTAGGAAGTTGATGATATCCGCGGGCGTGTGTAGTTTCGGGTCGGACTTGGGCGCCTCCATCCAGGGGGGCAGAGTACGCTGCGTGTTCGCTGTCCAAAGTGCGCAAAAGACTGCTCCCAGCTGCGACTGAAGCCTGGATATGCAACTGGCTGGTGCCTCGTCGGGACGCTCGAGTTCGACGGTGCCCAGCCTGACTTTGTACATTGCGCCGCCTCCATCAGGGCAGGACAGCGCGTTGAGTGCGTCCCGCTCCGAAGAGCCAGTGTGGCGAGAGTAGTGGGGCCTCCGCTCAGGGGGCGTCGGGGTGGGCGCGGGGAGGCGCTCGTACCGCGAGGTGCCACCGTCGCTGGTCCTCTCGTGCCTCGCGGGGTTTCGAGCTGGAGCCCTCCCGCGATCGGCGTAGGGCGTGCCCTCTGTGACTGAAGTCGCAGTATCCTCGCGGCTGGTGTCGGAGCTGCCCGCCGACGGGCTACGCTGTGGGCCATCTCCGCCTGAGCGATTCTCATCGCCCTCCTGGGCCGACTCAGAAGGCGTCGGAGGACGGGCAGGTCCATCCTCTTCGTAGTCGGGCTCCATCTTGTGATGGGGGAGCCCGTCTTCTGCGCCTTCACCGCTGTCGTCGTCGGGCGGGTCATGGTGGCCCATGCGTGAGTCGTCCGCTGAACCCTGGGACCTGTCTGTGTCGGCCACCATGGGAGTATCTGGCCTGTCGTCACCACCAGAACACGCACCAGATGGAAGGGGCCCTGCCAGGGAGGTGATCTCTGGCGCCGCGCCAGAGCTGCCTGCGGGGCTGGGTCCAGGGGGATTGCTTGCTCCGACCTTGGTGAATTGGTCCTGGGCTTTGGCGTCCTCGCCAAGCCGCGGGAGGGAATCCACGATGTCCACAGGTGCCTCGAACCCAATCTGGCTGCTGAGCGGGGGAAGGGCCGGAGGTTCATCTGGATACAGCGGCCTGAAGTCGCGATCCAGGATGTGGTCCAGGGTGGCCGGGCCAATGTTCCAAAGGGGGACCAGACAGCGCCGGCAGCACCAAGTAGCGTTCCATTGGCGCCCCCACCAGGCCAGGGCGCGCTTATCGATGGGGGGCAGTCCATGTTGCTCGGGAACTCCTATGTCTTCAGCCGGCTTCCATATGAAGCACCCCAGCGGCGGAGAGCAGGGGTCCCAGACCAGGAGCGGGGCCCCCTGGGGGCAGGTGTCGCACCGCGCGGAGTAGGTCCGCGTTTGAGCGGCTTTGATGCCGAAGCGGTCATCCCGGATCGGGAGGACCGGAATGGTGGTATTGGCATACTCGGGGATCTTCATGCCCGTCGGTTCCATAAGGAGGTCATCTAGCTGGCTCGTGTCCGCCAGGGGGCTGCAGCCGTAGCCGAGCGGAAGGAGTCCCAGGGAAGGGAGGGCGCTCGCTCTGTCGTTGCAGGTCCCCGACATCCGCTGCTCATGTTCCCTGATTTTG